ATCATTTGTGTCGTTTTGAATTTTGATAATTTCTGACAACATGCAGTTGCATAGCCTGATTACATACATTGGATGTTTTGTATTCTGCATTGCATTATCATCTAATCAGGTTAAAGTGGTAAAGATTTACTAATGGGAACATTCAGTTGCCCTAGATTTTGTCTTAAATTTGTAAAGTTATTTTACTTTAAAAGTTGATCCACTTTAATATAATTTAATCTGGGATGTTAAAGGACAAAAATAGCCTGTTACTTTCAATTGATTATTCTAAATTAGAAGGAATTTTGCTGAAGCACACTTAGTTAAATCATTATTCAAATGCTTCATTTCTGTTCATATTTATCCATTTTCCAACAATGAACATAATGATAGAAAAGAAAATGTATTCCAGGAATTCTTGAGATAGTGTAGTATAAACAAAATATAAATAACTCATAACTAAACTGTACTTCCCATAGCTTCCAAAAGCCAGTGTGAAAGGATTCACTGCAGTGGAAAATCATCTTAGAGATAAAATGCGAAAGTACAAGCTATTTGATTATAATTCAGTTGGCCAGCACAATATCTGACGTGTCACAGGGTTGGGGAATTTTTGCAATATGATGATAATTTGGTATCAGCCTTGCAGCAGCTTTTCCCAGCTGGGTTGCCTGACTGAATTTAAAACCTGACCTCGGCTAATGCTTCTGCCCTGAGGAATGACAGTGCACTGGCCACCAGTGTTCTTGACCCTATCAGGTCTTATTCACAGGTGGCTTACCTGATCTATGGTGGTGTGCATTACTATATACCATTTTCCAGCTACACCATCTTCCAGCTAGCTTCCACCTGATCTTCCACAGCACCTTAGCTATGACAAACAGCACTCCTTTCCCTCCTCAAGGGAAAGCATGCCTTGGTACTTGGCCAAATCCCTCTTACAAGAAGCATGCTAAATATTTCTTTGAAATCATCCCCTTTACTGGAAACCAACTCGCTTTTATAGCACAGTAGCAAGGCTGACTCTCAGGCGGCTGCTGCAAATCACCTGATTACAGAGAAGCCAGCAGGCTCTGGCTGAAGGGGGTCTGGCTCTGCATGTCGCTTCTGTGGAGCCCTCTGCCTCCCGGGACGCGGCGGTGGGGACTCCGTGTGCGCTGTGCATCCCCTGCGGCACCGGCAGCGAACGGTGCATCACGTGCAATCCCGGGCTTTGGATGCTGCCAGAACTCCGCTTAGGGGTGCTCTTGTGGGACCACGGGGCTCCCGCGCCCCGGCTGCCGGATGCACACTCGCACTGCAAAGGCAGCCGCTCCTTCGCATCAGCCAGAGGGGCTGCCGAGAGGCCCCCAGGCTAACGAGCAGGAAGAATGCATAATCGGAGGTGTAGAATAAGCAGTTAGAGCATCTGGGCTGTGACCTTACCGGCCTTGAAGCTAAGAATGGTCAAGCCCTGACCCTTGCTAAGTCCCAGAGTAGGCTAAGTAAGGGGGATCAATATTTTAGCAGATATAAAAGACACTTGACTCACATAGCCCCCCAAAATTGTTTGCGTTATTAACAGTTACATTTTTCACTTGCATACAGCAATATGCTTGATGGAGAAATAACAGAAGTGCCTTACATATTTTGATTTTAATAGAATATAACTATGTTTTTTTCCACATGCTGTCCTAATTGGCCAGGGACCCTTTTCAGAACAGATGTTCTGCTTCATTTCCTGTTTTTAAACTGTTTAATTTGTTGCTATAATAATTGAATCCTTATTTGGGACTTACAGCTATATCATGGAAAATATGTTTGCTAGAAACAAACAATCCAGTGGGATGAGTGGTACACATGTTGTGAACAACAAAAGGGGAGCAACTACAGACTTCTTAACAAAGCTATTAATTTACTCAAACAAAGTTGTTCAATTCATTAAAAAAATCTTTGGAATAGCAAAGTTGAGATTTTTAAAAATACTTACATGTTCAGTAGCTCTGTGTACACATCACTCAGAGGTATCTCCACACTGAATAAGAAAGTAAACTGTACTTAAGTTAGAAGTTAACATTTCTTAGATATGTGTTTGCTAGATTCTGCTGTTATGAACTCCTTTCTGAGCTTCCTACTTTGTTCTGAAAATGAAACAAAATGATTCTTGAAGAGTTAGAAGCTAGAGTGGGTTTCATTCATTAATTTTGTTAATTCATGCATTAAGTAATGTAGGACAACTTAAAAACTAGTTGTAATACACATAGATGCCAAAGACTGCTCTACCATTGCCTCTTCAGTTTGAATGCTCATAACTGTGTGAGTGGGGTTTTCTCACACAGTTTATCTTCCAGTATTGTAGCAAAGCTGACTAGAAGGACGGACTCCCTTTCCGTAAAATTGACATCCCAATAGAGCGATGGTGCATATGGAATGACCACTCAACAGTGCTTTTGGTTTCTAAGGGTATAAGGAGGTGTTATTAAAAGTAAGAATGGGCTATGAAGGCCTGTTTTGAGAAAAGGAAATCCTACTGGATAAAATTTATAGCTTACTTTCAAAGATAAATCTGTGAGTTGAAAGATCTTTTCCAAAAGCTTCAATAACAACTGCTATTGTACTTTGTCCTTGCATATTCCAAGCTGCTATATAAATACTAACAAACTATTGCTGTAGCACCCTCACAACACCTTGTCTGGGCTCTTTTTAATTCTCATATTATAAGATAGAAATTAAGAAGGTGAAGAAGTTGAAAGGCTAAATCTGTCTCCATGGGTCTCTGTGATCCAAAGATATAGAGGGTTGCTGAGCAGCCAAAAGAAGGTGCAGGCCTGAAGCAGGATGTTTAGAGCTGGGATTAAAGGCAACACTTTCTTTTCTAGGGCAAAACCTGGAGCTAAGGACAGGCCACAAGGAACCTAATCTCTGACTAAGCACGTCAGGAGCCCTGGTAGCCACACCTGGTACAGCAAAGTGCCCTTCATACCTTGCAGCAAGCTAAACACTTCTAGCTCCCATCAGGAAGACACCTGTATGTGACTGTCATGCTTTATGAGATCCTACAGTTTTAACTTACACAAACTGACAGAAAAATAGTTTCTGCAGTAAAGCTAATTATGAAGGCAATCAGAGATGGTATCAGACATCTCATGTTTCTGTTTTTCTGCAGTTACCTCTTGCTCTCTCCACATCACAGTACAGTGAACAAGAATTCAGTTAACTGTGTTTTTGGTATTCGTTCCCTCCCTCTCAACTCTCCCCTTTAGAACTTCACCAGGAGGTATTGCAGAAGGAGAAAAGAGGATTGGGATAGAAGTGAAGGAGGGAAAACTACTAATAAGAGATCCCCTCTTATTATAGCAGATTATTTAACTGTATATTATTGGCACCTCTATGCATAGCAAAGAGTGCATCATGTTATTCCTCTGGATTATGCAGGTTCTGAGTTTTTAAATGGGTAAAATACCCCCTATGATAACTGACAGTAAAAAGGTTCAGACAGCAACAATAAGTTTTATCAGTCACCATACAAATTTCTTCTGTACATAAATGTACCATTTAAGCCCCTAAATAATAATTAAAAAAAAAAAGACTACAGGACAAGCCTGAAATATTAGCTGTCTTAGTATCAAAAAAATCTGGAATTCAGAATGGCTGAATGAGGCTGTCTCTGTATAACAAAATATGCTGGCTTTAAAATGGAAGTGGGTAGATTTAGGTTAGATATAAGGAAGTAATTCTTCACTATGAAGTCAGTGAGGCACTGGAACAGGTTGCCCAGAAAAGCTATGGAAGTGTTCAAGGTGAGGTTGGATGGGGCTTTGAGCAACTTGGTCTAGTGGAAGGTGTCCCTGCCTATGGCAGGGAGGTTGTAATTAGATAGTTTTTAAAGGTCCTTTCCAACTCAAACTATTCTGTAATTCTATGATTTTACTACATTTCTCCAAGTTGAGAAGAGCATACACCTAAAAATGAACACCATAATTGGACGAGCATCAGGTTGCACTTTTGAAAGACTATCACAGTAGATCCCGCAGGAATCACAAATCAAATCTGTAGTTTTCTTGTCAAATGCCCTGTAGAAACCACAAGTCTCTCCAATCAGAAAATGCAATGGAAGAGAAATAGCACCTTGCCCTCCATTATGTCTTGATAACCTGTGTTATGTACTCTAAATTTCAACATGGTGCTGAAATGTTGTATTTCAGACATCTGTTTCCCACTTCACTCTAAACAGGGAAGCCAGAAATGGCAACAGCCCTCTCCCTGCGCTGCATCAGTGTTTATTTACGCTTCTGGAAGAACTCTTTTTATGGGTAGCTGGGAAGCCTGAAGGTGGATACAATCTACATGCCGAGATCAGTCGTTTGTTTGTCGAAGCCGCCTTCGCAAAGTGTAACCGAAGGCCGCCCATGGTGCCCTGCTACCCAAAGGAGCTGCTCTGAGAAATCGTATCCCTTCCTTCTCTCTCTCTCTGCCCCCGTCCCCGCTGGCCAGCCGCGCCGGGCTGCCCCCGGTTACGCAGGGCAGGAGGGGCCCTGCGGGGCCCGGGCCGGTAACAAAGAGCCCGGCGTGGGGCTGCCCCGGGGGCGGATTTACATCAACGATTTCACCAGCAACTCGGGGATGGCAAATCTTCCCCTTGTCCTGGCGGGGGAGCCAAACGCCATCGATCTGTAGCCGGGAAGGTTGTTGGGTTTTTTTTCGGCTGTTGTTGCTGCTGGGTTTATTGTTGGGGAAGTGGGAGGCTCATTTGCGAGCTGGTTGCCCAGCCGCAGGCCACGGCTCTCCCCAGACATCCCTCCAAATGCACTCCTGCTAAAGACCAGATATTTTTTGGAGGATTTCCCTCGGCACTCCGCACACGCACCCCTCTTCCCCCCTAAATTCACGGCAATGGTGAGCGGCGTCCCTCTCCCCTATCCTCCTTTTCCCGTGAGATGCTTTTCCACGCCACGCGGGGCGGGTATTGGCGGTGCCACCTGAGGCCCCGGTCCCGAGCCGCTCCCCACGCACCCTGTCTGTCTGTCTGTCTCCCCGTGCAGAGCTCCGGCAACGCGTCCTACCGATGCTCCATGTCGTCCTCCGCCGATTTCTCCGATGAGGAGGACTTCAGCCAGAGGTCGGGGACGGTGTCGCCGGCGCCGGGGGACACGCTGCCCTGGAACCTGCCTAAACATGAGCGGTCCAAGCGGAAGATCCAAGGCGGCTCCGTGCTGGACCCCGCCGAGCGGGCCGTACTGCGCATCGCCGGTAAGGCGCGGCTGGGGACGGCCGGGCAGGGGGCGGCCGGGGGGTAGAGGGACCCCCGTCCCTTCCCTTTCAGAGCGCAGCCCCGCCAGGCAGTGACTAAGCTCTTTGGCCGCGTTTTCCGGCTGGGTGAACTGATGCGTGTGGAAGGAGAGGCGAAACGCGCGCAGGTGCGCCTATTAAACTTTCGTGCGAAAACACATCAGTGGCCGGGGGCTGCAGCCGCGGCGGGGGTCGGCTCAGCCGGTGCCGGTGCTTCCTCCGGTCCGCAAGGCCGAGAGAGCACCGGGCCGCCCGCCCGGGGGGGAAGCGACGCTGGACCGCCCGCAGGGCGGAGAGGCCGCGGCGGCGGCGGCCGATGATGCTCCGCGCGGGCGGGGGACCAGGCGCCGGTCTTTGTCCGCTCGGGGCCGGGGCTGCGCCCGGGGGAGACCGGGACAGAGCGCCGGAGACGCCGGCGGGCGCTAGTCCGCGGCCCAGCGACAAATGTTGTCGAAAATAGGGCGGAGGTCCGCTTCTCCCCGGCGAGAGCTGGAAAACGCCTGTAAATGAATCCCAGAAAGATGCAGCAGGCTCCGGTGCTCCCCGGGAACACTGCTGTTGTTCCCCCCCCAGCCACCCCCCTTTTGTGTGCGCCTCGGTAGGTCCCTTCTCGGGACACCATTTCCCAGGGTAATCCATTTTAGCGGCGCTGTTAGAGGGGGCAGCGGGCGCGCTGCGGAGCCGAGCTCCCCCGAGCCGCAGGATGCAGCCGCGAGTGGGGGCGGGGGGGAAGCTGCGGAGCCGGTCCAGCCCAGCCCAGCGGGCAGGGTGCGCAGGGCGGGGGACGCGGAGGGCCGAGGCTAGGGCAGCAGGGACCGCTCCGGGGCGGGGTCAGGGCCAGGGGGCGGTGGGGGCGCGGCCGGGGGCGGGCGAGCGGCGGTGACACCTGCGGCGGGGCCGGTCCCCCGCCTCCGCCAGTATAGCGGCGGCTCCCGCCCCGCCTCGTTGCGGGCGTCGGGGCTCCTGCTCGGTCCCTGCCCGCGAGTCCCCGGCGGTGTCCGTCGCGCTGCGGCCCCTCAGCGCCAGCGCCGCAGGGTGACAGTGTCCCCGCCAACCCCGTCAGTGCCGCGGGTGCCGCGTCCCTGCCTCGGCGGCCGCCGCCCTTCTCATCCCGTAGGAGGCCGAGGCAAAAGCACGGGGGGCGGTGGGAGGTGGTGAGAGCTCGCCGGCTTCGAAGGCGGTGCCTCGGCGATGGGGCTGGAGCCGAGGTCTGCGGCTGGGGCCGCCTCTCGGAGCGCAGAGGAGCGGCCACCGAAACACGAGCGGCCGGGGGGGCGTTTCCTCGGCCGGGCTGGCAGCGCCGCCCCCCACCCGCCTCCCTCTCGCTGCTGCCGGGGTTTTTCTTGTGCCGTCCCTGGGGCTACCCGGCCGTCCGGAGCCGCTCGGGCGGGCGGCAGGGCAGGGCTGGGCTAGGCTAGGCTAAATTAAGCTAAGCTAAACTAGGCTAGGTTAGGTTAGGCTAGCTGCCGGCCATGGCTGGCTACCTCTCCCCCGGCGCGTATTTCTACGCCGAGGAGCAAGAGTACCTGCAAGCCTATGAAGATGTCTTGGAGAGATACAAAGGTAGGGCAGCGCTCCTTGTGTCACCGCAGCCGCCCGAGTGGCAGCTCGCCCCGCCGGGTGTGGCGGCTGCGGACCCAGGAGGCTCTGGCGCTGGCGGCCAGGTGGGGACGTTGGTGGCCCCGAGTTGGGTTGATCTGGAGGCGGCGGACGTGGGTGGCTTCTGCGATAAATAGAAATACCGTGTCACCTCACCAGTGGGTGACACACTCTCTCGTGTGTTTAAAAGTCTGTTTTTCAAGTGCAGTGCGGGCACAGTGGTTTACGTCTCGATGTGCATTCGTATTTAAAGCTTCGGTTTATTTTTACCTTTTTATTTATTTACTTTTTTTTTTGGTAGTCGAGCAAAGAATGAGCTTAGTTCCTGTAGCACCTGCGTTTTCTCATCAGATATAGAAAAATAAGGATAAAACCACGTTTATTGTAACAGTGATACGCATAGCTAAATTCATCTTGCTAGAAATGTAAATTACATTGATTTATTAAATGCATCAGAATGGAAGGAGTGGTTTGGATGATTCATTTCTGTTTTTCAATACATCTGCTAGTACTAAATCTGAAAAAGCTTATCAAAAGTGTTACAGGACTGATTTTAATGCAAGTGCGAAAGGGATGGAGTTAACTGTTTAGACTGAATCTTCATCCCTGAAATAGTCTTTACAGCATGTCACGGCATATGCTGATATTTGCAGTGCTGAGTCCTATTGTAATGTTAGAGAATGAGGTAGGTTAGATTTCATATCTGATTTTTTTTCAGCTGTATGTTTCCAGTCAGTTCTGAAGATTTTTGTTAAATGATTTCCACTGATGGGAATGGGAGTGGCATAGTTTAAGACAGCTTGATTTGAAGATCCTGATAACTGATTTTACTTATTCCAGGTTGCTAGTGGTAATATTTTGAAAAATAAACCCTCTACACATGGTTATTTTGACTATGAGAACTTGCCAGATCTGAGTTTACTTTATACTGATGTCACTTGCAATTTCATGTGTCATTAACAGTATTGACTAATGACTCCTTTGTGTCTGTTGCCCGTTGTGTCAATGCAGCTATGGAGCATGTGCACTGTTTCTGTACTGAAATGCATCAGGACATTTTAGTTGAGAGAAATAATTACCATTTGTTCATTACCCTCATCTTCAAAAGCACGTCTTCATTCCATTCTCCCCTATTTCTTATGTCATCAGTTTATATATAGCTGAACTGATTTTTGCAGAATTTTAGATCTAATGGACTGTTTACTTTGTAAGTAAGCACTGAGAAAACTTGTTTTTCTGTCCTGGTTCTAACCCAAAGCACTGCTATTATGCTTTGGATTACCTTTGATTTCTTGCTTAAAAACCTGGGAAAGAGATTAAGCCTCATTTCCCCTATTTCAAGGGGAGCTTTATCAGGAAAGATTTAGTTTTCAGTGTTGGGGAACAAAAGGATTTTAGTTAAACTCCAAAAACTAATTTAAATATCTATAAGAAACAAGCACATTCTGAAAGTATTTGAGTGTATAATGTTATGGTGGTAATATTGAGTCCATTCACATGCTATTTTCAGTGACAGCCAAATCCTGAAATTATTTGGAAGGATCTAGTTTCTGTTGTCTTAATTTTCCGTGTCATATTTGGTATATTGGTGTGCTGTGTTTTGCTGTTCAAGGTATACTTTATTCAGCCATTTGGAGCAGAGGTAAAGATTTGGACTTGTTTTAATTAAGATATATTGGAAACCTGGAAAACACATTATTTTTTAAAATGTGTTTCCAAGCCAGTCATGATTTCCCATTCGAGTCCCAGTAGTATGACTTCACTACAGCGATTGTTGTTCTGATGACTTGCTATGGGAGCTGATCTAATCAGAAAAGAATTACTACAATACAGGCTTTGAAGAGGGAGTGCCATTTCTCTGAATTTCTCATTTTTGTAAACACCTCTTTTAGTAACTTTTTTAATTGAATGCAAATCATGTTGACTTTATAAGATGAGCTCCAATCTATAATTTTAATGCTGATAGTTCTTTTTTCTTTTTCTTTTTTTCCTTGTTACAGTCTGCAGAACACTCTCATACTCATTTAGGGTATTATCAGGGTGCCAGATTATCTATACCCCAGCTGTTGAGTACTGTAACTAGCAGAGTCAGCTGTACAAAATTCATTGCCTGTCTTGGAAGTCTTGGGATCATGTGATGCTGCATCATTAAGATGTTGATTTAGGAAGATAAAAGCTGCCCTTTTCAAATGTAGAAAAGTGAAATTTTACTTTTCATCCTTTTCTGCAGCCAAAGTAGGCTGCAATCTTGAAGACCTTACAATGCCAAGTACCTTGTTGCTTTAACAGTTGAAAGCAGGATATTTGTGTGTCTCGAAATTCTGTCTGCTGATCGTATGACAGTAAATAATTAGGCAACTGTTTGCTAAATCTGAGATAGCACAGAAGTGCTGTTTACTATGGGAGAAGAGAGTGTTATTTTCTGATTCCTGGTCCACTCAGTTGCTGGTTGTCAATGTTTTATTTATTTTTCATTGATTCATGTAGTAAATATTTGACAGTATTTATGAAGTATTTTGGTGGAGAAAAGAAGTCGTGTTATCTCAGATGATTTAGAAATCCTTTTGAATCCAGCTACTTATTTAGGGGAAAAAAAAAAGCTTCTTTATTGGTAGCACCTTGAAGCATTCAAAGCCAAAGCCTTTATTGTGAAAGTGGCAATAAAACATCTAGCAAAATATGTAAAACGCTTCAGATAAACTATACATCTTGTTTGTGACTGAACAGGAAGATGAGAAATTGTACAAATATTTGTTATTATAACTGAAGGTTTGACTTTATCTCAAACTATATTTGACTCTAGGAGGTTGTAAAGAACTTAACTTACAAAGCAGCAAGAATAACTATCTCACCATTGCCTGGGAACAAAATTAATAAAATTGTTAGCTGCAGCCTTCTTGATAAGTAAGAAAATGTCCAGTAGTATTTCATATACATTTAATTGTTAAAACATTAAATGCCACCTCTATCTAATGACATAATTATGCATTGTTCCATACCACCATTATTTGAGCATTAAATATTTGAAGATTACCATTTTAAGCTGTAAATGCAGTATTTTCATTAGATTTCCTCTGCTATAAATCTGAAGTAGTACACTGGCAATGAACTTATATATATCATTTCTCTGAAATGGTTAGTTAATTTCAATAAAAGTTCTTAATATATTTTTCAGTTGAGGTAGTAAACATTTATTTGAATAGCAATTGCAACAATCTTCTTTTTGCTGAAACATTTTGAACAATTAGGTAACTGTCTCCCTTGACATCCTTATTGATATGGGCATATCTGTTAATGATTGTGCGCTTGTGGTATCTGAAAAAGAGCTAATTCATTGAGTTAAATGTTGAATAAATTACAGT